ACCGGCTCAACACCAGCTTTTAGTGGACTGTCGCCCCCTGCTGGACACAGAGTGACCCAACACAAAACCAACCATAAAGATAAATAAAGATAAATAAAGATATGACATTTATTAATGAATAAAGATAAATAAAGATATGACATTTATTAATGAATAAAGATAAATAAAGATAAATAAAGATATGACATTTATTAATGAATAAAGATAAATAAAGATAAATAAAGATATGACATTTATTAATGAATAAAGATAAATAAAGATAAATAAAGATATGACATTTATTAATGAATAAAGATAAATAAAGATTTGACATTTATTAATGAATAAAGATAAATAAAGATAAATAAAGATATGACATTTATTAATGAATAAAGATAAATAAAGATATGACATTTATTAATGAATAAAGATAAATAAAGATTTGACATTTATTAATGAATAAAGATAAATAAAGATATGACATTTATTAATGAATAAAGATAAATAAAGGTAAATAAAGATATGACATTTATTAATGAATAAAGATAAATAAAGATAAATAAAGATATGACATTTATTAATGAATAAAGATAAATAAAGATAAATAAAGATATGACATTTATTAATGAATAAAGATAAATAAAGATTTGACATTTATTAATGAATAAAGATAAATAAAGATATGACATTTATTAATGAATAAAGATAAATAAAGGTAAATAAAGATATGACATTTATTAATGAATAAAGATAAATAAAGGTAAATAAAGATATGACATTTATTAATGAATAAAGATAAATAAAGGTAAATAAAGATAAAAAACACGATTTCCTCTTAAAATCTTAAACAGCTTTACATGATTTCTTAAGATAGATGACATGAAACATTTGAACCGCCCTGCAAAAACCAACGCCCTAAGAGAGCTCTTGAGCTCTTGAGCTCTCTTAGGCTCCTCAAGATTGTTGGATGACAGCCTGCCAGAACAACCCCCCCCCCCCCCCCACCCCCACTCCCCACCGGATTGTTGATGGTTGGTCTGCCTCCCCCGACCCCCTTGCTCCCTATCCCTCTTCCTGCATCTTATCCCATCTCTCCCCCTATCCCTTTCCAACCCCGGCGCAGTCTAGGCCTGTGAAGGCTGTTTCGTCATGAGCCGGGGATCCGGCTGAAGATTTCTGCCTTTTAATAATAAAGTTTTTTCTTACCACTGTAACTTTTTCTGCTTTGTTAAAGTGCTCATGATGGATAGGCCGGGTCTTTGTAATATAACAATAAGTAAGGTCTTTTACCTGCTTTTTGTAACATAACAATAAGTAAGGTCTTTTACCTGCTTTTTGTAACATAACAATGAGTAAGGTCTTTTACCTGCTTTTTGTAACATAACAATGAGTAAGGTCTTTTACCTGCTTTTTGTAACATAACAATGAGTAAGGTCTTTTACCTGCTTTTTGTAACATAACAATGAGTAAGGTCTTTTACCTGCTTTTTGTAACATAACAATGAGTAAGGTCTTTTACCTGCTTTTTGTAACATAACAATAAGTAAGGTCTTTTACCTACTTTTTGTAACATAACAATGAGTAAGGTCTTTTACCTGCTTTTTGTAACATAACAATGAGTAAGGTCTTTTACCTGCTTTTTGTAACATAACAATGAGTAAGGTCTTTTACCTGCTTTTTGTAACATAACAATGAGTAAGGTCTTTTACCTGCTTTTTGTATCATAACAATGAGTAAGGTCTTTTACCTGCTTTATGTAACATAACAATGAGTAAGGTCTTTTACCTGCTTTATGTATCATAACAATGAGTAAGATCTTTTACCTGCTTTTTGTATCATAACAATGAGTAAGGTCTTTTACCTGCTTTTTGTATCATAACAATGAGTAAGGTCTTTTACCTGCTTTATGTATCATAACAATGAGTAAGATCTTTTACCTGCTTTTTGTATCATAACAATGAGTAAGGTCTTTTACCTGCTTTTTGTATCATAACAATGAGTAAGGTCTTTTACCTGCTTTTTGTATCATAACAATGAGTAAGGTCTTTTACCTGCTTTTTGTAAAGTGTCTTGAGATAACACTTGTTATGAGTTGATGCTATACAAATAAATTGAATTGAAATTGAATATGTGTGATGGAGGTGAGGTCATAGTAATAACTCAGGCAGTGGGGGAGGGGCCTATGTGAGGTCTGTCCATGGGGCCCAGATCCATCCTGGACCCAGCCCTGCATCTTTAAGGGAAACTCAGGACATTATATTTAATCATTGTCTCAGGAACATCAGATTTATTAGGTAGGACCAGCATGCACTTGGGGTTTGTAGTTCTTTTACATGACTTCATATTTGGACATGCTCGCACAGATGTTGGCTTCAGGAACTACAAATGAGTCTGTTTTTATGATTTAACTGTTAGAGATTTAAAGACACAAAGAGGTTTTATTAACCCCGAACAGGAAGTCACTCTGTGGAGGAAAGAAGGAGAAGAAGGAGAAGAAGGAGAGAACAGAAGAGATGGAGGAGGAGGAGGAACAAAAAGACAAAAAAAGACAAAAGGAAAAATAAAAGAAGAGGACAGAAGAGGGGGAGGAGAGTTAGAGGGGGAGGATAAGAGAAAGTGAAAAGAAGTAAAAGGTGGAGGGAGGGGGGGGTAAAAAGGGAAGACAGGAAGGAGCGAAAGAGATGGATGTGAGGGGGCATCAGAGGGAGGAGGGGGGAGTCAGACAGACTGAGGAGGAGGAGGAGCAGGAAGAAGAGGAGGAAGGAGCATCAGGACACACAGACACACGGAGCCTCCGCCGCCGCCTCGCCGCCGCTGCAGCCGGACACACAAGCAGCAGACCCGGCAGCAGACCGGAGCCATGGCCGCCGAAGACCCCCGCACCACGGCCTGCACCGGCTCCAGCCTCCTGCAGCCGGTCAGCGAGATCACCAACCTGCCGCTGGACCAGGTAAGATCCTCCGGAGTGGGGGAGACATCCGAGCTCCGAGGCCGGCTGCCGGGTCTCACTCACACCGTGTTTGATGCGACATGCTCGGCCCGACAGGGGCGACATTTACCGGGGCGGTGTGAGGGATGAACCGGGGCGGTGTGAGGGATGAACCGGGGCGGTGTGAGGGATGAACCGGGGCGGTGTGAGGGATGAACCGGGCCGAGCACACAGGCGGAGCACACACGGTCCGTGCAAAATGGAAGCAGGCCTCACCGAGACAGGAAGGCGGATTTTAGAGCACAAACACGGCCCGGGTCTCACAGGCCCGGTGCAGAGAGGAGGTGCAGAGAGGAGGTGCAGAGAGGAGGTGCAGCAGAAACATGAAAACACAGATTTATGAAAAGCAGAGAAATCACAGCTGGGCCAATCAGCTGATCAACACAAAGACAGGAGACAGAATCATCTGTTTGACTTCTGCTCAGAAGGAGGGAGATGTTCTGTGTCCATACAGGCCCAACAACAACACATCTTCATCTTCATCATCATCATCATCATCATCATCATCAATCATCTTCATCTTCTTCATCATCATCACCATCATCATCATCATCATCATCATCATCATCATCATCATCATCTTCATCATCATCATCATCATCATCATCACCATCATCTTCATCATCATCACCATCTTCATCATCATCATCTTCATCATCATCATCATCACATCTTCATCATCATCTTCATCATCATCATCATCATCATCATCATCATCACCTTCATCATCATCATCACCATCATCATCTTCATCACCATCACCATCTTCATCATCATCATCATCATCACCATCATCACCATCTTCATCATCATCATCACATCTTCATCATCATCTTCATCATCATCATCTTCATCTTCATCATCATCACCATCTTCATCATCATCATCATCATCATCATCATCACATCTTCATCATCATCTTCATCATCACCATCATCTTCATCTTCATCATCATGGGGGGTTAGGCGGGTTAGGCGGGTTAGGGGGTTAGGGGGGGTTAGGGGGGTTAGGGGGGGTTAGGGGGGGGTTAGGCGGGTTAGGGGGGTTAGGGGGGGTTAGGCGGGGTTAGGGGGGGTTAGGCGGGTTAGGGGGGGTTAGGGGGGTTAAGGGAGACCGGGGACGGCTGCAACACTTTCTGAGAAACTATTTGGACCAAAAGAATCAGATTGAAGCCGTCTAACATGGCCGCTTGGCGTCCTTAATCTCACTTCTCCCTCACCAACCAATCACAATCAAGACGGGGTGAGACTCCCGCTATCAACTTGTTAACATCAATGGTGGACAAGAAAACATGAAAAAAAGTACTGCACGTATATTAGCTTAATGTGCGTGCATGGCGAGCTGTAGAGGATTTCAAAATAAAGCGATGAATGGGAAGATATGGGGGACGTCTCACACAGGGCAGAGGGGAGGGGCCAAAGACAGGAAGGGGCTGCAGCAACAGTTAGCACTCTGAATGAGGGACAACCAGCTGGTGGACAATAAAACATTGTATTACTGTTTATATATAAACATTATATTACTGTTTGTCTTTTTTAAGATTTATTTTTGGGCTTTTTGTTCCTTTAAAGGGAAACTTCACCATGAAACATGAATCTGTGTTGACATTGGGTCATATATGTAGAAATGTGAAATACATTTTGAAGTTGGAGCCTTCTTGACTGAGAAAAGACAGAAAGTGTCTTTTTGGCTCATGTGGATGAAAGACACCAAATCCCAGAATGCACAGCACAGCAGGCCACTCCCACTAAGGTCCTCTAGTTCAGAATCAGAAACACTTTATTAATCCCAGAGGGAAATTCGATTGTTACAGTTTCTCAGTATAGCAGTAGAAATATAGAAATAAAAACATGTACAGACATATTTACTTCAACACATCAACAGACTCTGTGTCCAAACACTGAGAGCACCGACACTACCAGACCGCCCCGACTCGAGCCGGCCCCGGCTCCTCGTCCTCACCGCCGACAGGCAGACATCATGTCTCGGCTGCTGAGCTGGCAGCGTCCAGCAGTATGGCTGCGAGATGTCCG